CTGCTGAACTGGAATTCAGATATATATTTGATATTATCAGACTTGGACTCAGTAGTGACTTGAGATGGTTAGCTCATTACAAAAATTATTATTCTACCTTATGGATTTATGTACACTATCATTTATCTAACTTTGCCAATTCATGAACAGCTGGGAGTAGTCCATACCTTCTGAGTGTACTTTTTGTTCTTTTGATTTGATCTCGTTTTTACCTGAGCTCTGCATTATAAAGTAGCTAGTGATGTTTGAGCACATGCCATTTTACTTTACATTCTGCTCACCCATCACAAACAGGATTGATTCTTCAATGAGCTTTATGGAGGTGTTCAAGCAAATTCATATGTGTCCATGTTGTACAATTACACTGCTTTCTACATGTGTTGGAATGCATTGTGCTTTCTTTACAATGTTTAAAAAGCTCTAAAGCAATATTCAGTGCTTTTTATCATCACTAATCCTGCAAGACTGAGATCTGGGATTATATGGAATATGAAATGTACCTAATTCCTCAATACGTTTTGTTTACTGACCCAAGGTCATTAGACCCTGTGGTTCCATCCCTGATCTCATGCACATGAGCATCTCTGTTTGCATCTGTGAAATGTAGGAGGGTATATCATATGTTCAACTCACCCTGCCCACAACCTTCTTTTGTTTTACAAATATAACCTCCTTAAATATTCACTGACAACTGGTTTTCAAAGCATATATCTTGCATTGTACATTATGTGTTTTTGTCCTGCTGAGATGATGTAGGGTATTATTTTCCAGGGTCATTGTAAATACACATTCTAAGCTGATATGCTGGGCTTAATACACTGTGCATTACCTTACTCCAGTGGTTTTCCAATTTAAATTAACTTATGACCAGTCACCACATTTGTTCAGGCCCTGATTACAAATCCATATAGAAAGAGATTTAAATAGGCTTCTTTGTTCATTGATTTTAATTTAAAACTTAATTTATTTAATGCAGCTCAAACCTACAGATTTTTAAAAAGTGTGATGAGTTCATTTGAAGTATATGACTTAGACTTTCACTTTTTTGCATTTCAAGATACCAATCTTATCAGTACTGTTAATAAATATCTAAAGCTGTATAGGATTTTACTGAACAAATAGAATAAGTTTTTGCATATTTTATAATGTTCTTTTGTTCATTTTCTTTGTATGAAGCTGTCTGCAATTAATTGTTCAGCTGACATTGTTTTATAAGACTACAGTCCTACACCCATATAGAAGACTCCTGACTTAGTGGAAGGAACAATAACTACTTTGACTTAATGCCCTAATTTAGCTCTTTAACAACACTGTAAACAATTTGTACATAATGTAATTGGGATATATTTCTACCTTCTACCCTAAATTTAATTCCAATGTATCTTGGGGTAGAAAGAGTTTCACAAAAGATTTTTGTTCATGGTGGCAGAAATCATTGTGTTTTACAGTACTAAAATATCCAGAGTTTGACATCAGAATCTTTCTTTTATGTAGATTCACCCCTCCTCTTTTGCATATTAAGTAATTTACACCAATAGGATTCCTTTACAAAGCTAGATTTTTAAAATTCAGAACAATGAACTATGGTTTGAACCTAACATATTAGACAACTAACAAGCCTTCATGAATTTAAAGGAAAACATTTTAAAATGTGGGATTAATCTAACTTTTTTGATGTTCAGAGTATTTTTCTGCCCCATAAATAGCATGCTATGGTAAATATTCTCCAGGTTGTTGGGCAGAATCTTCAGACTGTCACAAAGGGCTGTATCTCCCCAGGGCACTTAAAAATGGTTCCCTGGACCAGAGTATTCTTAGTGAACTCTCGTTTTTTTTTTTCCTTTTTACTTCAATATATTAAATGGGTTTGGGGTAGAAAAACTATTTCAATGGCAAAATTTCTAAGATTTCTAAACTTGTTTTTTCCTGCAATATTTTAATTTTTTAAACAGAAAACAAACTGTCAATGACAACACTGTATTTTGGAGATATTGTTTGCTACTGTACAGGTGATAATGTCCTAAGAATTCTAGCCGCGTGTGGATCTGCTGACCCTGTGAGGCCAAAAAACATCGGGATGGTAGACCTGTATCACATTCACCAATTCCCAGTGATCCTAAGTCAGCAGGTGATTGCTTTGGAGATCAAGCATATCCCAAACAGTGTGGAAGTCTTTCTTGTGCTAGCAAGAAGGAGATGATTTCACTCAGTCCTCCACCTTGCAGCAGTTCCCCATGCTACATGGCATTTTGTCAACAAGGCTCCCCTGTCTCCCTGTGTCAGCTTTTCATGGGTCACAGGAGATTGTTCAGGAAGGGGAAAGCAAAGGCAATCCATCTCCACACGTGCCTTTTGTGCTTTGTAGTATGCAACCCAGAATGCCTGAGGTCAAGTTAATAGTATTTCAATATACAATTCTTGATAGAAATGTAACTGGACTGAAAATATGTAACTGTATATTATGAATTAAGCAAAATGTTAAGTGATCTATACTTATTGTGTCTGATACAATTCTGGTGTTTTCTTTCCTTACTAGGATTCTTTCCAAGTAGTTCTCAAGGATGTGATGCCTTTCTGCGCCATAAGATGACATTAATTTCTCCCTCAATTTTGAAAAAATATGGAATTCCTTTTGACAAAGTGAGTTTTTAGTAAAATTTTTGTTCTTTATTCATTATATTGAAGTATGAACAGGGTGCTTGGGAGCATAATTTATTAAGACGTGGATTTCAACTCAGGAACTGAACTAAAGCAAGATTGTTAGCGCTTACTACTGAATCATGTGGAAACAGATTTAGAAGCAAAGTGCCATATAAAGGAAAGAAGGGAGCATACCTCTAATCCTCCTCATCCTTCCCCCATCTCTAATGTAATTTTATTCCACCTTTCCTCTAAGGAGTTCAGAATTAGTGGTGTGCACTCAGTATATACCAAGCCCAGTACAGATTAGACAATCTGATTTGGCTACTGAAATAGCTGATATTTTTTGGCTTTTATTTGGGTGTGGCTAGAAGGCATCTCTTTAAATGCCTTTAAAGTTCACTTGCCGAATTGTACCATGGCGGCAGCGTAACTCAGGGAGTTCAGAAGGCGTTTAAACTTTAAATGCCTTCAGTTCACTTGCTGAGTTGTGCTGCCACTGCAGTGTGACTTGAGGAGTTCAGAAGGCATTTAAACATTAAGTGCCTTCAGTTCACTCACGGAGTCTCACCGTGGTGGTATGACTCGTTGAGTGAAATTCTCCTTTATAGCTGTGGGGACTGTTCCCTTAAGGTATAATGGAGCTGAATAAATTCAGTTATCCCAATATTTACCATGAATACTAATAAAATACCAATCCTGGTATTCGGGAATACTAATATTTTTGGTGTCCAATAGACCCAAATTGGACAAAAACCCTGATTTTTTTTGCACACCCCTATTCAGAATGGCACATTCTCTGCATGAGTGTGTCTGTATGTTTGACAGTAAAATTCTTAATCTTGGACTAATAATTGTATAATAAGATTCTACCCTAAGTACACACAGATACCCTTATAGCCCTGTTCTAAATGAACTAAGTTAGAACTGAATTCAGTGCAGTTGAGCTCATTCATTTCCTAGTAAAGATGTTCAGGGTTGGGGTATAATATAAGTCTTCATTTGCTGTACTCCCACTTAAATAGGATACCAGTGGCAAGCTCCCAAGAAGAGATTGACCATCTCACTATAAAGCAAGTGAAAAGGAGGAAAAGAACTTTAATTTTACCAAATCTCTTTTTAGGTTTGAGATTAATGCATATATAGCTGCTTCCTGTAGTTACATACAATATTCGTATTATTTCCCCTGCTTTTTAAATCCTGTAATCTACTATTGGGAAGCATTTTTAATGAGAATAAATCTTTGCTTTACCTAGCCAGGTAGTAGAAGAGATACAGTTTTCTTGCAGTAAAATGTCATATCATGCCAAGAAACCTTTCAGTAAAGTTGGTGGAGGTTTAGCTGTGCAGTGATTTTACTCTCCTTATGCTGTAGAAAGATTCAGCAAAGATCTGGAAACTCTTTCCATTCTACAGAATTTCTGGCATGCAAAGGAAGATGGGGGGGGGGAAGCATAGAAGGATATAGTATGTCTTCCATATATGGATGAATGCCAGAGTGTGGGCAACTCTGAATGCATTTGGTTAGATTTAGGAACATTTGCTGTGTCCTGATGTATCACCTGGAAACAGTACCCTTCTGGTTTGGCCTAGGACAAATGGAAGTTTGTACTACTAGGCATCACTAGAAATGCCTAGTCAAATCCCAGTGTCAATGAGTAGTTTCTTTTATGTCTTCATTTGCTCAAGGCTGGGAGATACACTGACAGTTGGTCTCAGAATGCTTGTGATTGAGGCATCACAGACCAAAGAAGATTAATTTCACAAGATTCTCTAGTGGCCTTGTTATGGATTATATTGTGGTTCCATCTTTTTGTATAGGTTGGAGTGATTCACCACTCTCCTGAGGTGTAGTTTCATTTATTTAAATACTGTTTTAACAATGTGATGTCTAAGTATTGTCACTTATAGGTGGGGACCTCATTAGACTTGTGGGTCTTATTCTTTTATCTTCTTCTTCCTCCTGCCCCCTCCCCCCGCTGGCCCTTTCCCTCCCTTTTTCACACTTCTTCTTTCTTTTCGTTTTCCTGCCCACTACTGCCACCTCCCCTGCAGCTCATTGGTGCGCCGCCTCCTTCTTCCTTCCCTGCACCTTCTCTGATCAGTGCCACATACATATACACACCCCTGCCTGCTCACAAGCAGCGCTGCTGCCTCTGCCTCTTCTGTTTGGCTCAACCAGCAGTAGGTCTGCTACCCTCCCCACCACCTCCTCCTTTTCTCTGTCTCCTGTACCATCTGACAGCAGTACCTTCCAGCCACTGTGGCTGCTTTTGGTTCTTTTATAGCATTGCAAATTGTAGCTGAGATCTCATGACATAGTGTGACAAGATATTGGTCTCCCCCCCCCCCAGTAAGTAAACATTTTTAATGCTTTACAAATTTGTCCCCCATCTCTTTTTGTATTTTTGTGCAAAGCTGGGAGGTGACCCAGGTTTGTACAAACATCACTCCAGCCTGTACTTGGCTACAGTGAGTGGGATTTTGATCTATACTCCTAAGGTCCATCCAGGTTCATCATTTGATTCGTGATACTGTTTGGGGGAGGGAATCTGAGTGTCGTCTTGAACTATTTTTTTAATGATTTACGTTACATATATAGTTGCTTTATTTATATATTGTGTGACACATATTTCTCATGTCTTTTATATCCTCACATATAAAGCCCTGCAATTTAGATTTTTCATTTTTTGTTGAGCAATCAGAAGTCAGAGCAATGTATCTTCCAGCATACAGAAATGGTAAGGCTATCAAATAATATAGGCAGATGGATTCCTATTAACCTCTTCAGATTAAGTTTTACAGGAAGTGAAGGGTATTCAGCGAACAGAGGTTGCCTTATTCCACTACTTTGAACTCTCTAGAATTCCATTTAAACATTTCAAATAGTTAAATATAATTTTATGTCACCTTGTGCCACCAGAGAGCAGTGTATACCCAACTGTAGCTCTAATTAATAAGCTTCTGTGAGAATGTGAATAGAAAGAATCAGGCTGTGATCTCTTGTGGCTTAGACTGATAGAACTGGAAACGTGCTGAACACTGATAAGCCAGCCTACGCCTACCAGGTGACAGCTGAACTGCCGGTTATTGCAATAGCACACCTGCTAAACTGTCATCAGTGGGGGTGAGTGACAAGATAAATTTGGGAATTGCTGGCACAGAAAATGTTCATACTTATATGCACTTTCACCACACTCTTAAAAACTCCAATCATGATCTCAGCATGTGCATCTGTGTGCATACACTCTTATTTGCATCCTTATGCTTAAAGTGTGCAATTGCTACCAATTTGTAATGGAGTTATAGGATATCATACATATATATTTAAAGTGGGTATCTCTTCTTGCTTTCATCTAGTATAAACTTTCTGTCTCGTTGAAGAAGAAGAAGAAAAGATTGGATTTATACCCCACCCTTCACTTGGAGTCTCAGAGCGGTTTACAAACTCCTTTCCCTTCCCCTCCCCACAACAGACACCCTGTGAGGTGGGTGGGGCTGAGAGAACTCTGACACAAACTTCTCTTTTTCAAGGACAGCTGTACCAGAGCTTGTGACTGACCCAAGGTCACATCAGCAGGTGCAAGTGGAGGACTGGGGAATCAAACCCGGTTCTCCCAGATTAGAGTCCGCACACTTAACCACTACACCAAGCTGGCTCTCTACACCAAGCTGGCTCTTCTTTTGATTCCAAACTGGTTATTCTTTTGATTAAGTTATATAGTTGTACTTCCACACATGTATCAGAAAATGATAGGATTACAATGTTACCTGTCAGAACACTTCAGAACACGCACACCCAAAACATCTTGCAGGTTTCAAGAAATTTGCTAGTGGTTTTCTGTTTTTTTCTTTCATATGTAAATTAAAAGTCAAAGTATATTTTAATGTAATAACGTAGGAAATAATTTGACTATATATGTTTTCATATTAAATATGCTGTTGTACATCGATAGTAGTCCTAAAAGGAAACCTTACTGCTGTGATACTCACAGTGGTTCAGAAGCCACACGAACTGTGGTGCTTGCTCAATGTGGCACCCTTCTCACATTCCAGGAAAGGGCTTGGGGTTGGCAGGTGGTTCTCATCTTGAACCAGCTGCCATTGGAGCATCTGGAGGACAGGTAAATAGTGAGCCTCCCTGAGCTGTGAGCCTCATTCCAGGGTTGGAAGGGCCCATCCTCTTCAGCACCCTACCTCAATTCTCTGCAGCCTCTGTGCTCTCACCTCAGCACTAGGGCAACTGCCAGGAGGACAGCAAACTGAATGTGTGTGAGAGTAAAACCATCACCATGGCAGCCGCCCACCAAAAGGGCAAGCTGATCACAGTTGGGTGATGATGGGTTCACTTCTCTTTTGCCAGGGCCAGCTTGCTCTCCTCTGGCCACCTTAGCAATCTCCATCTTTCGCCAGAGCTGTCATGCTAGGGAGAGAGTGAGAATGCAGACAGCCTTATCTCTCACTCCAGATACACAAAGGCTGGCTGAGTTTCAACAACTGTGGGGATAGACAATCCTCCACATCCCTGGGGGCATGATACGTGGAGGAAGGTGGAGCTGGTGTGCATTCCTTGTGGGTAGTGTGGGTCTGAATGTGAGAAGCTAAGGGTTCAGTTCCAAAGTCCAGAGCTGAGAAAGTCATTACCAAAGGGTTGTCCAGGAGGCGTAGTCAGGCAGTCCAAGGGTTACTCATGAGCAGAGATCACAGAGCTGAGAAGCGAGGTCAAGAGCCAGTCCTGGAGTCACAAGAGCATGGCAAGTTCTGGTGCAGTGGTTGCAGAGTCAGCAGTAAAACAGCCTTTCCCTTGGCTGGTTGCGGTTCCAGGTCTTATTTGGGATGGAGAGGTGTGGCCAGCCCTATACTGCCCCGTTTAAATTGACCACTCACACAACAGTTTCTTTGGAAATTGGGTGGATAAAACTGGCCACAACTTTATTGGTTACAGCTGTAATAGGCATTGGCACAGCATGGGTCCTCCAGATCCGTCCCGTCAGCTGAAC